CTAAATTTCCAGCCTATCCAGGTCACGCTGAATGGCAGCACAGCCTTCTGGTGTATCCACCACTCCTCCCAGTTTGGTGTCATCAGCAATCTTGCTGAGGGTACACTCTAACTCTTCATCCAGGTCACTGATGAAGAAGTTGAACAAGACTGGGCCCAGTACTGACCTCTGAGGGACACCACTAGTTCCAGGGCTCCAACTAGACCTTTAGTCCAATGAAGCACCGTTTACTTCTTCACTCTCAGGTTCTGAAGATTAGGTTTCCAACCTTGTCATTGTTGCCCTGCAAGTACGGTGGGCATGCCAAAGGTATGTGATCGCTCTGTGCCGTTCTTCTGCACGACTGAATTTATCAACTCTGTCTCTCCTCAACACCAATCTTATCTTTCCCCATGCCTCCAAAGCTTCTACTTGTAGACTCCCTCTCCTTACTGCGTCTAAAATCTGCCAGGCAGTTACCCTTGTCTATCTGGAAACCTCTACTGGGCTCCATTTTCTGTTTATTTTAAGAGAAAACAAATTAAAGCATTTCTGAAGAATACCATGAGTTATGCAATATCTGTTTCTTTCCTCTAAAAATCTCCTTGGGTTCTCAAATCTTAGCTATGCTTGGATGTTTTGGTCTTGTTTCCTTTGGGGCTTTTTGGTGTTCTGAACTTCTAGGTAATCGTTTAAGTGGAATAAAATGAATACAGTAGCAGCATGGTTTAGCTACTGAGATTATACAGAAAGTGAAACCACTGAACTAGTGAGAAAAGCAATTGGATCTATAGCTAGCAAACTGAAGTAATAAAATTGCTTTTTACAAGAACCTTCTCCAGATTAAAAAAAAAATCTTGTTTTCCGGTTTATTATATCAGTAAGCTAACTAGCTAATTTAAAGGGAATCTAAAAGGATTTAGGAAGGGGTTTTGAAAAGCAGGAAAGATTTTTCATTCTTTCTCCAGAGTTTGGTGGCATAAGATGCTGAGATCAGAAATTTTGAAGTGTTGAAAACTGTGGCATTCAGAAGAAAGCAGTTCTCTTCATTAACTTTAAAAAAGATTTCCTTATGTTTTATAATATTATTTTGTGTAAAGGCTAAACCATTTTTTAAAAAATTCTGGTTTTCTTAATTATTGTTTATTATGTCACACAGCTCTTCTGTAGGTTTCATGCTAGATTATTCATTTATTATACAATTTATTATTTAATAATAGAATGCAAAAAATTTTCAAATTCTGCAATATATTTGCATTAAGACTTATATTTAACAAAGTAAACATAGTTAATGGTGTTGATTAACAATAAGAAATACACAACTTGAGACAGTTTTATTTAGTTCTGAATCAATGTACCTTAATATTAATCAAGTATCAACGTTCTGTAGGATTCCAACTAAAAAAGTGTACCCTTTCTTTCTCTGTGCATGTTGGTATATTAAGCTCTAAAAGCAACAGAATTTAAAGAATTCATTTGTTCTAAATTGCTAACCTCAGTCACAGGTAAAATAGTTTATTAATAGCACTTTTATTTGAAAAATAGAAAATTTGCCCCAGAAACATTTAAATAATATAATAAAATGAAGCTAGGCACCAAAAATAATAAATTCTTTAAAAATGTCTTTATTTTATAACCACACCTGTGACAGTTTGTAATTGGAAATAGACTTCTAGAAAGTTAGCTCTTCTAACTTTTGGAGTACTGCTCTTCTTTAGTTCTTTACTGAAATTTATGTAAATTATAAAAATATCCCTGCAAGACTTAGAGCTGCACCAACATCCTTCATGATTTGAAAGGGAGTGCATGGAGGATGTCAAGAGGGAGTAGATGTCAATCCCAGTTCAGCTACAGTGTAGTCTATTACTGACTTAAATTATCACAGAATCACAGAATCACAGAATCACAGAATAGTAGGGGTTGGAAGGGACCTCTGTGGGTCATCTAGTCCAACCCTCCTACCGAAGCAGGGTCACCTACAGCAGGCTGCAGAGGACCACGTCCAGGCGGGTCTTGAATATCTCCAGAGAAGGAGACTCCACAACCTCCCTGGGCAGCCTGTTCCAGTGCTCCATCACCCTCAGAG